CTACAAGTCATAGCGGATGCAACTCTGCTATTCTGTACGAACTCCTTGACATCATGGAACAAATCGCAAACAGGGATCACCTGGGCTCCCCCAAACTCCGTCGTACTGGACTCGAACTCGTACTTAAGCTTTACGGGGACCGTGCTCTTTATCTTTTGCACTGCCGAGACCCCGCATGACCTCGCCTTCTTGATGGTTTTTGACCGCACCTTAACGACAATCATACTACAATGTTTTGAGCCAGTCAGCCAGTGTCGACATTGGAGCGTGAAGCTGTAAACTGTTTTTGTTTGGCATCAATTCGGTATTGTTTCTTGATCTTATTTATATCTAGTAATATCGTGTATCTTCGGCAGCTAAACAGCCGTCCTTGCTCTCCTTATATGGTCCATGAAGTGGCTCTTCGAAATGCAGAATTTGAGCTTTCATTATGTAGGACAGCAATCCCCTATCTGCAAACATTTTTGCAAAATTAGGCTTTGCTTTTTGATGTTACTTTTTGCCAGAGTTTATAGAAGGTAATGTCGTCAAAGCAAATAGGTTGACCACCTAACGAATCCTGCAGAAAAAAACAAATCCATTTATTATATATCACTTCCAAACAGCAGAAAACATTCAGCTTACTTTCGAATTTGTAATAATTTCGCATCACCCAGAAAGTCCCACAATTCCCTTGTTAGCCTCAATAATCCATAAGGACTGAGATTTAAGCAAGGGTAGAAAACGTTCTTCGAACGAGGTTCGAGCCAATACCTCTTTGGTCGTGCTCTTTGAGAGATCCCAAAAGTAAGGAAGGATAAGAGCATCTGGTGGGTGTTCTACCCATCACCAATTGCCCTTTCCTTCCACATTATCACAATGAACCAAAAAATGTGTGCTACTTAGCTTAATCCAGAGTGTATTCTAGGAGTGATAAACGAGAGATGGGATTTAGAAGTTTTTCATGATTTGCGTGAAATTCTTTATCGGATTATTTCCGTGGTCCTGACTAATGGATTGCCAGGGATAATGCTATCAGCCAGGATAACATTTTTGATTGACGGGTGTTTAGTACATAAGCACCTGCAGAATTTTCCTGTGTGTGCAAAAATGTAATACCCGATTGCACGTATGTTTATGAATATTCAATTTATTGAATATTTAGTTCAGTTTGGTGGAGTTACAGTCACTGTAAAGAAGTAATTGGCATCTACCGCGAAGTATTGACCAGTGGTAAATTTTTCATCATAATTTGCGTTGTCAAGAGGGAAAATTCAGTTTTGCTTTTCTTTTCTATTGACCATTCTCTGCTTTCCGCAATGCATGGGTATCCCTCCTGGAGTTCAAAAGATTGATTCCTAATTTTCGCCTGTTGCTGACGGAATGACAACCGTATGATTTTGAGTTACGGAATAGTCTTCAATGATGCAAAGCATCTCGAGTAGTTTGCATTAGATGTTAGCCAAGTTTCGAGAGGTCTCAGAAGGAGAATCCTGAAAATTAGGGTCTTTCTCCCTTTGTGATCTCCATTTCGTCCGAAATGGGAAGGGGAAATTTCGTTTCAACCCTAGCGTCAACGTCATTCAGCCAGCAGTAGATTAGCACAACACAAAATGTTTGCTTCGAAGTTATTATTTTTAGGCTTCGGATTGGCTAGATTTTTAGACCTATCAAATCGAAGGGCGTCTTTTGTCGAAGCACCGAGTGCTAAGAAGCGTCACTGAAGGATTAGAGGAATTCAACATCCTCAGTTTTTGTTTTTGTTTCAAGGTTTGTAAATGGTACCAAAAATAGAGTTGTAACAGAGTTGCTTTCTAAGTTCAACATTCGGGAGTTGACTCCTGACATCATGCCCGACAGGTAACGAAGCAAAATGCGCCGGATATAATTTTCTGTTTTTTTTTCTAGAAAAACGGACGGGAACTTGGAATCAGGCATTGCCTCTCAAGAATTACCTTGAAAATGAAAGAGGATCAAATTTTCTACATATACTTGCGATTTGGGCAGGACGTAGTGTAGTGACAAGTGGCGCACTGTTACACACGAATGGTAGTGAGTTCGAATCCCTGATCGGTTCTCACTTAGACCAATTGAACTTCTCATTCCTCCGGAGGCGCTTGATTGGTAACAGTCTCGTTTTCGGGACATCAAAAGCACTGACCTGTACATCGGCTAACCACCGGAAGCCGTTGTATAGTCCGCCACTACGATTCTGAACTGAAGTCGAATGTGGGGGTGCATCTCAAGGCGGTTGATTGACGCCATAAGGTTTTAGACTTTAGTCGCGATTTGATGCTGATATTCCGCTTCGTTCCCCCTCTTTCTCTCCCTACTTTCAGTTTATTTGCTAGGGAACAGGGTTAATCCTATGCAGACTGAATACATTTTCTAGAAAAAGATGGAAGACACCTTTGCAAAATACCGACTATCATTCTTGGTATTGTGTTACTTTCTGTGCTATCGAAGCATTTCGAAATGGTCATTATTCAAAAATCCTCAGCATTTTCAAATCGGCGATTACGGAGGTTGTCGTTAGTATAAATGAACATTATCTCATCTGGTTGCGAACTCTATCCAGTACGCTTAACTCCTGGATTAGACACCAGGCGGAGCTTGGTAGTCGCGGAAAGTTGTCGTAAAAAGTATATTCTCTTTTTAAAGAATTCAAATGACTAGGTTCCATTGCCTAACTGAAGTCCGTCTGAATCCTTTTNTTTTAAGACAGTTCAAGATGTATGCACAATAGTTTATTGACCCGTTACTGTTTCGATGCATATTTTTGAAGTATACTAGTATCTATGAACGGAATGACTTCTAGGTGGAAAACTCCTAATCAAAATTGCAGACATGTGTCGGTCACTCAACGGTATCGTAATTTCTTCCTAATTGATATTAATGGTGGTTTCAGCCGCGAATAAGATACGACCTCCAAAAGTCTTCTATCTGGGAGATATTTTCCGTCGAAACCATTCGCAGCATCTGTCATGAGATCCAGCAACCGTTCACAAACACAAGGAAAGATGAAGAAGGGTAACTCACGTTCAGAGGACTATCTTCAATCTATTATTACTACTGGAAGGTGCTAGAGATTAGAAGGTCTAGAAGGATGACAACTACATGGAAATGATATGAATCGTGGAAAAAAGACGAACATTGAACTAGATATGCATTGACCCGATGCAGGGATCGACCTCGCCAAGTCGCTCATCAACACAGAAGCACTAAGAAATACGATAGGAGGCGGAGGCGACATCATCTCCGAGGACGATTCGGACGTCGTCGCATCACTGGAAAGACGTTTTTTGGATCCTGATGGTTTGATTTGATTAATTGTATATGGAATGACTTTTTGCCATTAAGAATGGCATTGGTCGTTCTTCAGGTAATCCTGTGTACTCTTGGCTGAATCGCTTCTGATAATTCCTCAACAAAGGAGGAAGCATGATTTTTTGAGTCCCACCCACCTTTTTGAATCATTTTACTTCTATCTAGGTGGAAAGCAAGGAAGAAGGATCATATAGTTTTTTGTCCAATGATCCCCCATATCCGTGTCGATGCAGGAAGGGCAAAAGTTTAATTGACGACACTAAGAGATTATTTGCTCGAGGATTCGCGGATTGAAGGTAGTGACGAGGTGCCAAACCATCCACGGGTTCTGCAAAAGTTGAACCGAGATGGGCTCGTGGGAAGCGGCCGTGAGAGTATATTCCCATGCAAGAATACTTCGCATTTTTAACAGTTCAAAGGGAATAGGTGCATTAACGATTTAAGTTAGACGGCTCATGATAAGCTCTACCCTCCACTCCAATGAACAAACACGATTCCCACAATTAGTTACATAAGTTCCTTCTATTCAAGCCAGCCTTTTACTTAGGGATAATTCTATCAGTTTATTCTTCAATATATGGCCAGAATTAAGTTAGAGTCTGAACATTGAAAACGAACCTCATCAGCACAGTAGCGCCGCATGAAAGAATCATCGCAGGATTTTCGGCAGCACTCATGCACGATTGACTGATCTTCAGATGACTTTCTACCTGTTTCCCAGTGGTCTGAAACGCAACAACATGGATACAACATCACAGTTTTGTTTATTTGAACCTCTTGTGAACTAATTGTCTCGTAACCATCGTGTAACCAAGNTAATCCGCAGTCTAGGTATGGACCAGGGAGTAATAAACTCAAAAAAAGAAAATCCTCCATATATCCTGCATATGCATATATTCTTGGTATGATTAGGTCACTTAATACGAATGAAGAATCCGAAAAGTAGAGGCTCTCTTCACAAGAGATAGTTGTGGGTGGTTAGTGAGTGGGGAAGCTTTATGGGAAAGGAATTTGAACGACCACAAAGACCGAACGTCCCGTTCAGCTCTAGCGCGCATATTTCAAATTCTCTGCCTCTTTGGAAAGAGATTAGAGGGCGAAAGGGTTCACGAGAGCCAGTCCCTCTTGCTACGCCAGTCGGAGGTCACAGGGTTCATAGCTATAATTAGCCCTGCTACCAGGGCCATATTTGAAAGTGCGCATACTGTAGTTATGAAGGAGAAAATTTTGTGGTGAAAGGCTTCTCCAAATCACGGGATTCTTATTCGAGAAAGGCTCCTGCAACAATATGGCGGTAATCGCTTCGGGCGAGGCAACTTCCCTACCGCATTTGTAATTGCTCAGCAAATATTCAACGCACTGACCATTGCCGTTGACGAACATTCTTGATAGATATTACACTAGCAATGTCTAACATGCTTTTCTTCCGCTTCCCTCTACTCCCTCAGACCTCATAGAAAACCACCCAAGTTAGTGTAGATGCCAAAAATCGAAATGCAGATCATCTCCGAGAAGACCATCAGTGCCCATCAAGCAGTTCCCTACCTCTGATAAGCCCTTTTCAGTGCTCATAAAAAGAATAGCCCTACAGCCCTAGCCTTTTACCTATTTTTCGAGCAAAGAGTTCACAATGGGTCCCTCCAAAGGATGAGTATAATTTACCTGGCAAAGGAGTCTTGACGGAACCGCACAGATCAATTAACCTTTTGGTGAGGTGTTTGCCACAAAATCGTCGTTGAGGTGACGAATGGACGACGTCGACGACGGTGAAGGTGAGCACGAGGGCACAGATCATCAACCGCAGCAGATAAGGCATCTCCACCTCCCACCGTGTGACTTTCTTCGCCCATTTCGGCACCTCCTTGAGTAGGCGGAGCAATAGGCGGGGCAATCCGAGAAACATGGGCGGCCAGTCCAAAAAGCATTCACAGAGGGACACAAGAAGTGTTACTAAGTGGAAATAGTGTTCATTGGCTGATATTGTCTCGAAGAACTCTGGCTGTTGCAGAGCCGTGCTTAGTCACCAGTACAATGCCTTTGCAAAAGTGCTCTCCTTTCTAACGATACTAGCCAAACTTTGAAGCCTTGGAGTTAGTACGTGTGACAGGGCTACATTTCTATGGAAAGTAGTCAAGCTGCAAGAGGGGAATCCTTTCGAGCGAACCAATCATAGCAATCACAGGAAGGGGCCCAATTAGGAGATACGGCGTCCATAATTTCCAATCCCTTTTCTCACGAGTGAAACAATAGGTTTTTCAGTGAAGGAACGGTTAATTTCATACATGAATCTGTGATCCACTGATCTGAAATTCAATTATTCTAGTAGTTATTGTATAGAACAGTGCAATTTTCTGGAATGCCGCTCTACTGCTTCAATTCCAGCTGAAGGCTATGGATTTAACCGGATCTCCAGGTATGGTGCTCTTAGGTGCACCTTCCGTCAATGCTGGCCTCCCAAACCCAAAGCTGCATATGCAGAAAAGATGCTCAGAAAAATCTGTGACAAATGGCTTGAACAGCGAAAGGCGTCCCTTTTCTCGACATCAATCCATTCCTTTTAAATAAACATTCATTTTTGTCGGCATGAATAGAGATTAAAAATTTTCGGACCGTTTTACCCAATAGGCCCGGTGTTCTTTTGAAGGCCTTTATTTCTAGTCTCATTTGTTGTCATCATTTCCGAAAAATTGCAGAATTGCGTTGAAAATCGAGGTGTTACGACTGGCGTCTGATAGCAAAAGGGTTTAGATATAAGCTGCTTCTAATGGGTTGTGATAACTTTCGAACTGACGCAATCGCCGCTGCAACAACACAGGCTTATCAAAACTGGCAGCGTCTCTCGTACTGCTCTCAAAATTCGAAACTTCGGACAGAATTTTCAGATAAATGTTGTAGCCATTGAACAATATGTAATGGAACTGTCGAAAGATTCTTCTTCCGGATAGCTGTTTACTGTTGGTTCAGGTCGGAACTTAAGGGCTCCGCTATTATGTCACCGTTCCGCAGTCGGACAAACAGCCATCATTGAACCCTCCCCGGACAACGCCGCTGCAAATGCTTGGTGCTGTATGGAAATTCACAAAACGGAAGGTACAAACTTCGAGGTCGACAGGAACCGTTTGGGTTTTGAGCCCAAAAAAGTATTTCTACGTTTATGTCCTCTTTTTTCCGTGAAATACCCTATCACAACGTTTAGGAATGGGGACATACAAAGGATTATTTGAGAGAAGATTACTGAGAGCATTTTCATTTCAGCTCACTTTAAATCTAATTCATAGGACTAATATTACTACTTACATCGAAAAAAACCAACTCGCATGTAATGGTTGTTTGTTGCTGTGGCAGAATTAGAAAGGACACTTGACTCACAGAGACCTGTGCTCAGAGACAAAATGGGAGCAGCTGGATTGCGCAACCCTACGGATCATTACCATTAGAGTGGACACGCAGCTGTGGAGTGCTGCTGACTCCCTTGCCATCTTTTTGGCTTGTACAGACTCACACTATTGCATGGTGGTATGAAAGAATTCAGCACACCATGTCAGTGCAGCAGGATAAAGACTTCTGAGACTCCTAGGAACTACGGTATGAACTTCACTTCACTACCCAATGGTTTACCTGAGCCTCCGGAGCGCAGGCAACTTTAAAAGTGAATAGGTGAAAGAAAATAAGCGGTCTCCTCGAAGCTACCAAAGAAAGGAGTTTGACACTATCCCACGGGTGCATCCTGTTGTGTCGCAACGATGCTCTGTTTTGTATCCAGGCTGAAACAGAGCTTTATCAACTATTAGAAAGTCAGAAAGGTTGCAGAGAGAAATTGAGCCAATTTGCAACAACCTCCTTTTCACGAGGATATGAAATCTCCTATTACGTATGTTTTCCTTGCTGCGATTTTTTTAGAGAGAGAGAAGGCAGGGTGTGGGGTGGGG